CCAGTCATTTAGTATACAACACGTCTTCCAATAATGGCGCGATTTTACGTCGACACAGTAACTTTTGGAGAACAGGCTCAGCAACATACCAGCGTTAGACCATCTCATTCAACCTACTATCAGTTCGAACTGAATATCGATCCGTTATTCGGCTTTATCAAAAGAATAACTTTTCACAGGCTCCAACAAAAAAAATAGACTTTCTGTCACCCACTATTATAGGCAACGGCAATTTCCTCAATTATTTGTTACGGATTATTCAATCATTAAATATCTCTAATAAGCATATTTAAATATGAAATTGAAAGCCCAGAAATGGGCAGATAGTGAGAATGGATGGAAGAATAAAATGATGAGAGATAGTAAAGATCCTTAAAGAGTGTATCGTACAACTGTTATGTTGACATCATAAAGATCACTTTATGGATCAATGGGAACAAAGAAAGCATACCCTGCAAAACGTTATTTCGTTGTGCATTTGCCGGCGTATATGATGAACATAATTGTAAACCATAGGTAAGGTCACGCAAACGGACAGTACTGCAACCACGGAAAACGTGACTGCCGAATAGGCCACGAAGCGATATGCCTTGATGCGACTTTCCAAATCCATACCCTGATCGCTGTTGTATTCTTTTCTCTTCCTTTCTCTTCTGACAGTAGGAGTTGCAGACCTCGATAGTATTTGCTGTTGTGGTCCTCCTACTCCCTTATATACGGTGAGCCCTGCTGCACTTCTGGAACTTGTTTCTCAACGAGCACGCCCTGATTCGATCAGTACTTCTTGCTTCTTTACATTCTTCGCAATCCAGCGATAGGTTGTTAATGGCAGTTGCAAAGATCATAAGAAAGAGAATGGAAAGTAAGGGATAGCGCAGATGAGGTGAACACCGCGGATTGCAAGCAACCGCCGTAATCCCCTGCAGGCATCTATACACCTCTTCAATCGCGACACCAGCTTTGCAACCGTCATCTACTCACGATACCTCCCACCACTTACTACAAAAATTTTCTGCAGCAAAGACATCATTTTATTAGAGCTGATTGTTTTCTTTGTACGCACACACACACACACAGACACACGCACACACACACACAGACACACACATATACACGCTGGTATATGTGTACATGCGTACAGAGACACACCCTTTTCCAACCGTCACTCAGGTTGAAGCCTATCATTTTTTGTTGTTGCTAACGATGGCAATCAGTCTTTATGACAGAAGCATTTTATTGGAATAATGAAGTGCTGCTGCTGCTGCTGCTGCTGCTGCTGCTGCTGCTGCTGCTGCTGCTGCTGCTGCTGCTGCTGCTGCTGCTGCTGCTGCTGCTGCTGCTGCTGCTGCTGCTGTTGCTGTTGCTAGTTGTGAAAGTCAAATGAGATTCATTTTGATTGCAATGTTCAGTAACATTGTATGGGACGTAAGATCCGAATTCTGCTGAGCGAGATGGAAATAAGCAGAATTCAGAAACGTAACTGATTACTCAAACACCCTTCATTAATCCGTTGTAATCCAGTTGAACCGGATTCATTGTAGAATATAAATAAATGAAAGAACGGTATCAAATGAAAACAACGAAATACTGCAGCATAATTTCAAACTAATTCCTTTAATGCATTCATTTGTTATTTCGTGATAGACTTACTTCTAGCAGTAATATACATTCATGTCTGGTGATGGCCGGAATATAGACTCACTTCTGTAGTAGCCGAAACTTCGGTTAAATGAACGATTGGAGATTCTTACCGCTGAGCATCGAACTGCCTCGAATTCGAATTGATCTTCATAAATGGATAATGCATTTATTTCGCTGTTGTAAATTCTGTTACTTCTGACTAGTAAAATTTTATAGAAATGTAAGTTGATTCAGAAGGTTCGAGAATTCAAGTAATTCGAATCCGTTAGTCTTTACGTGGGACGTTCAGAAGTTTCTTTTAAGATGGATCATTGTATGAATCTGCATTTGCGATTCTCATTTAATTCATTCCATCTTTTTACCATATATCAGATGCTGAATTATTACTGAATGAACTGTCCACTCCCTTAATTGAACTATTCTTTGAATTGCATTTTCAACAATGCGTAGTATGTCTTTCGATCCGATCCATTAGTCTGTTTCTTCGGTTTTTCAACTGAATACTTTCGGAATTATATATGCACTTGCATAATTTTCGTTTTATTTCATTATACGCTGTTAAAATTATTATTTGTTGACATTTCAACAATCCAATAATGACACATTACATACTCAATTTTAGTACTAAGGTTGTAAAAGTGAGGTAGAAAGACATGTTACAACTGTTCTGATATCATCGCATCCTGCCTTTCCTTCTTATCAAAACCAAGCCAATGATTCAATGCTATGAATCATCCATCTATCAGTGACACGATTACATATGGGACTTAGCTATTTGTGGATCCTTTCTATGAAGGAATTAATTGTAGCAATGGTTAAGCCATTCTTCCTGATTCGTTTGCTCCGTTAGATAAATAGATGACTTTAAAATGAACTTTAAATATTTCAATCAGAAATATTGTAGATATGTTTAAGTTTGAGTGAATGAATTATTAATTTATCGAAACTTTCATTGCTGATATTACAGAAGTGAAAATGAGACAGAAGGAACAGAAATAATGACGCAGAACGAAATTTTTATTCATAGGTTGCATGACATATTGATGGTAACAAACTGCGGTTACCAGAAAAAAAAAGGTGGAAGATTGGGATCTTTGAAACTTTTACAATTGAATACATGTATGCATGTGTATGTGTATGTGTATGTGTATATGTATGTGTGTGTATGTCCTGTGTCTGTGTGTGTCTTTTTTTTCTTTTTTTTTTTTTTGTGCAGTATATTGCCAATGAGTATTGAAAAATTTCGACCATTTAACAGAGTGTTTGCTTTATATTTTTTATAACACATTGGCGAGACAACGGTATAACTTAATAGATGTTATATTTTTGTTTGGCTGATCATACCATTAAATTCCGAATTCATTTAATTTATTTCTGAGTTCCTCTAAAAGGATTTCTTCTTATTTAAGAGAAAAATGAAATCAAATCATCGTTTGTGAATGCAATTGTATTGTATTCAAGGGCAAGAATACATTTCGTAGTTGTCGAAAATTTTGAAATTTCATTGGAATGGTTAAATTTGCAGGTGGGAATTTCATTGTGGCAGCAAATACATAAAAATTTTCGAAATAGATATTTCACCTGCCATGATCATTAAGTTTTATACAGTAACTATCGTCGTCTCACTGTTGCGATCAGTTCATCATTTGCAATCATTTTTTGATAACAAACTGTATTGGGGAAGAATTTTTTCTTTTTTTTTCGAAAAAATGATGAGAGATGAAAGAGATCCTTTAGAGAGTGTAACATTTTGCTTTCAGAATTTAAGCAATTTTTCTTTGAACGATTCATACATCCTGACAGAAAATTCCGAGATAAAGAAAGAAAATAAACTGCTAGTTGTTTGTACTGTTCAACTAGTATTTTTTGTATGAAATTGAAAGGGTCTGAAATGACATTTTCGACAGTTGCGTTATTTCAACTAATTTGATCTTTCCACAATGTAACTGATAATTTATGCCTTTCCCAAAAAAAAATTTTTTTTTTTGAATTTTTGAAGAAATTAGGTAGGATTTTTTTCTGAATTCTTCCTTCGAAAAGTAGGATTTCGGATGAGTATTTAATTCCGTGATTTTAATCATACAATTGAAGAAAGATTTTAAAAAAAAACAACTGTTGGATAGGTTATAATGAAGGAAACTTGTTTTGTAAAAAATATAAAATGTTTTATCTGGCGGATTGTTCTGTATATTACTCATATCCCTTCGTCAATTGGCATGATTACCAATTATGAGCTGCTGTAAATTGTCACATATTTGTTAGTTTCTTCGATACTTTGAAATTTTTGTTATTGACTTATCAGTTTGGAATACTTTGAACTGCAGGGTAATCCCGAAAAAAGGAAAAGGATCGTTTTTTAATTAATCTTTTCTCAAAATTTAAGAGTTGTGAAGTGAAAGCAGAAAATAGAAATTTTGACAGATTTTCGAATGAGAAAGTCGAAAATGTACATTACGAAACAATTAATGATGTCTTATAAATCCGCAAAAAACCTCCAATATTTTGTATTTTTTCAAATTTTTGAATGAGCCATTCAATGGTCTGCAATTTGGCACTCTTTTCTCGTAATTCACTGTCGAATTTTTTGAAATAACAATTCATTTATTTAAAAAAGATTTTTTGCCAAAAAGTGGCCGGTTTTCAAATTCTTCAATCTTTTACAAATCAAAAATGTTGTGCTGTTAAAATTTTTGTCAGTATATGGTACATTTAGAAGGGTAGCAATGACCAGATAATAAAAAGGTAAATGTCGAATGTATATTCTGATTTTCATGCAATCTGAGAAAACACTGTTACGCGAACGTAACAAAAACCGTTAGTCTTCTTCAAAAGACTGACGTAAAATCGTCTTATTGTTTTAACGCACGAAAGAAAAGAAAATTGCTGGATGACATAATCGTGTTTATCAAACACTTTACAGAAACTTATTACACCTTATGAAGATCTGAATCACACTTTTACAGAGAGCAAATATTAAAGAACGGAAAGTGAAGAATGGAAAAAACAACGGTTGAAATTAAGAAGAAACGAAACCGCCCAAAAATGTCGATAGCAAACTGCAAAAGAATTGGGTAGTTAGTCTAAAATAAATTACTTCCGCTGCGAGATACAAGTGGTGCTGCTTATTCAGTTTTATGGCGGAAAAGAAATGTGATTTTTAATCGGGTACTGAATCTATGCCATGAGCTGAGGAAGAAACCAATTTAGATTCCAGTATTTTGACCGAGCAAATCTGTGATATCCGGTCGAAAATTGATAAGTAATTAGATAATTTGAGATTTCTTTTAGGTCCTTCTCTTATTGCCCCTCCTTTCTATTCATCATTTCTCTCTCAAAAAGAAATGAGCAAATCTCCATCCTATCTTAAAACTGTAAATGAATTTGTTTTTTTTTCTTTAAAGATTAAACAGCAAAAGATGAGGAGTGCTTGGTCAGAAATGTCAAAAGTTTTAAATTGAATGATGTGACTAATATTCAAATTGCACAATATTTTATTGCTTTGCAAAGAACTTTTGAATTTTAGTTAAGCGTTTCAGTAATTAAGAAATTAATTTGCATGGAATTTTTTAACAGCAATGTGAAAGTTGTTAAATTTCATTTACTGTAATTGGCCTTATAGGAAAGGTACACATATATTGCTTATATTTTTAATTATAGCAATTACTCTTTGCAGGGATTTTTCAACAGTAATATGTACTACTTTAAAAGGGAATGAAGTATTGGTCGCCTGATGGGTAAGATTTGAACAATGATGAAAAATTGAATTCGAAGAGAAAAAAAAACAATTTAGAATAATTTACATTTTAAATTTAGTTTTTAAAAAAATTGAATTATACAGCTAGATCTTATTCATGTCCATATTTTCTGATCATTAAAGTGAACATTAAAAATGTCATTTTACAACTTTTGAAAGATTGCCACAGAATTTATTCCTGTACATATATCACCAAATTTTTTCCATAATAGAACAATCACCACTACATTGGCTTTCTGAAACACGTTGAAGATTTCAACTTTCAAACTATCCCTCTCAGTTTTTTTGCAGGATTTTGTTATACTACTTCGAAATATGCATAACTAAGGAAGCTTCAAAAACCGATTTACATTTAAGGTTTATAAAAGTTAATCCGAAAAAATTTCCCAAAAGTTGACTTTCCACTTATTACTCGTTGAGCATTGTCCACGAAAAATTGTTATGAATTTGTATAACCTTAGCAGCAATGAAAAATTTCATACAAAAAAAAGTAGAACATTTAAAAAGGATCAATTCATTGCTGGTAAAAAAATACTTTTCAATGAAGTAATATCAAATTGTTGCACGATATATTCAAGTATGTTTTTATGAATTCGAATTTTCTTGCAGCATTTCAACATTTCAATTTTCCAGACAGCAACCACTCATGAGATAACTAATGATGGAACAATTGGCTCTTGAATGACAAAAAATGCGAAATGAAAAATGATTTCAGGTATGAACGATATGGTATTTAGCAATACTAATGAGCATAAATAATAAAATGTTTGTAAATAAAGCTTCAAGAAATTAAAAGAAAATTTTAAATGGCATAAAATGAAACTGAGGAAGTGAAAAAGAATAAAAAAACTATTGAAATTAATCAATGATATAAATTCAAACATTAATGCCTCAAAAAAAAGCAGGTATAATTTAAACGATATATTCGGAAACTCAAACGGTCATTTCTTCCCAATTTGTAATTTAGGTTTACCAAAATGACATGTGAGAATTCCATTCTTTTTAATGTGATTCTTCTGCTTAGTGTCTTAAAGGGTGTTATGGATACAAGAGCGTTTTGAATATAATATTTTGCTGAAATGAGGATATATTGAATGGATGAGAAAAATTGAATTTTTTGGTAGGATAAGAATTTGAGAAAAAAGTATTGCGGAAAAAGCGAAAGTCTGGATACTCATATAAAATGGAATTCAAAAAGTGAATGAATTTTGTGAAGAGCGGAAGGACGCAAATTTGATGGAGTAATAGGTACAAGTAATTATTTAATTGTACTGCGCGATGAACCTTTCGTATTTTTCAAAAAGGTTAAGACTGCCTGCAAATTTTCGAATTTCATGCAGCTATTTTCAAATCTTCAAGAAAGAAAGATTTCAAAAAATTGGAGCAATTGCATGGTTTGATCTTTTCTCGTCTTTTCCGCTTGACACTTCACTTTAGATTGGAATAAAAGCGTGAATTTGTGAGTTTCTGGTATCATTGATAGTTTATAATGAAGTTATAAAATTTCTGCGCTAAAAATGAAAATCAGTGCAAAAGAAATGTGTTAAGCAGTGATTGAAAGAGTTCATTTTAAGTTATGATAAGATGACGGGAATACTATCATTTCTAATTTCAACTCAAGTTTTATTATTTCGAAATAGCATGGTCAATTCATTTTCAGAATGGACAAACAAGTTGAATGGTTACCTAAGGAAAGGGAAAACAGAAAGTTAATGATGATTGGACTGAAAGAAGTATCCAAATTTGTATGTTCAAGGAATGCGGTCATCCAAAAATGTGCGATAAATTTTTGAAGAAATTGCTTTTCATAATTAGAATAGGAACTTTCAAATTCTAAATTATGGAAAATTTTTTAGCAGAAATTTCATTACGATTAAAATTTGTTTGTAACGTTTTGAAGATAAAATTACTTTTGTGTATTCCATGAAATTTTAAAGTAGAGGAGTTTAAAATTTCAATTTTCAATGTATTTTAAAGGAATTTTAACCGGATGATTGTAATGTTTTTCTCTGCCGAAACTAGAATCTCTGCCCGAAATTTTAGCACAGTGTAATGAAATCTCGTTTGTAGTAGAAAAGGAAAAACAGTTATGCTACGGAAAAAATAAAACTCGTTTACAAGCAATTTTTGAAATTGATAGAATTAGTTGAAAAAAAGTATTTTTAAGAATTTTGCTGATATTGTCATGATCTGAAAATTCCTCTTTCGCCATCAAACAAAGTGCAAAATGTGCTTCCTACAAAAAAACACCGGGATTATCCGACTGACCAATATTGCACAAATTTTCGAAATAATACAATTTGATGCCTGGATGCAAACTTCATAAAAAGTTCTTTGCATTAGGCCCATCTCGGCTGCTAATTTAACTGATCAGATGGTAAAGCTAGCCAGTAGTGACTTCTGCCCAATGTTAAATTGTCTTCATTTATAATCAAATTAATTTAATATGAAGTTAATTAAAGGGGTTTGTTAACAGAAAAACAGACAAACGCCTATGACTCATAAATTGAAAATTTTTCAGTATTATATTTTTAAAAACCGACAAAAACAAATGCCGAAATAAGAATTGCGATTTTCGAAGCAGTTGGTGATTCATATAATTAGTGATTCAAACGGACATGTCACGTATGCATGTCAACATCACCAGGACTTTCAATGTACAACAAAGAATTAATTACACACTGAACTCATTACCTTCTGCTAATATTGTCTGTCATTTTATTGTCTCCTTACCTTACCTTACCTTTGTTTTATTTCTTCCTACTCTCAACCAAAGCGATGGCTACTTGTTGTCAAATGTAATTTTCAATTGTAATTTTCCAGTTTGGGAAGTTTTTCTCATTAAGCGAAAAGCTTATGGAATATAAGTTTCAAACAGCTGCGAATATATTAATATCTAAATTATTTTCAGTAGTTAACTTAATATTCGGTAATGAAGTAAAGAGTTAAAAAGCCTTGAAAATATTTTCAGAAAAAAAAAATTATATTTTCAGATCGAGAAATATATCATGTTCAAAGCAAATCCATAAATGAATGAAGAATACATTAATAAAGTGTTCAAATTTTGACATTTTTTACATTTCAGTTTGCCTTTCAACAAAATCCTTTGTTCTGCTTTTGTTTTTAACCGATTCATTTTACGCCATCATTTAGCATTCAAGCAATCTCTTCTTCCTCTTCTCAAATTCGAAAATAATTCTTATGGGTGTCATTTAAACATCAGCTCATTTTTATCAAATCCTTCCTCCGACACTTATTTTCTTTTGTTTTCGATTTTCACCTCCAAAATTCTTATAATTATTGAAAAAAATAGGCAAGAGATAATACTATAAAGTTGAATATGTTAATTTTCAATTGTAACATTGAAAAACACTAACGATATTAACAGTGTTTAGCAAACTATCATAGGCATATCTTTGACAAGTTAAAGGGATTACTAAATTTCAATCATTTAAGACAAGACATTCAGTTTATAGTACTAGTAAATAGACCAAAATAATCTGACGGCATTTAAATCAGCTAGAATAAAGGGGAAGCCGTATATAGTACTACCAAATAAATGTGGTTATTTCTTTACGATAATTCCATGGGATCATGTCATTTTCGTCGTACAGCTCTTCAGATGACTGCAATAAAATTTCAACAGTGAAACACATTGTCAGTTTTATTCCATTGTAATACTTCTAAAATTTCCTTCAAATTTTAGCTTTTTATAAACACTCAATTTATATGATTAAATTAGTCCGATAAATCAATAATGAATGACAGAAAAGTACTGATTATTGTAATTTGCAATACGATTGTAAGCATTGGCATTCTGTTCGCATGCGGAATCTTTGTTAAAATTATTTATGATGATATTAACGATATGTTTATTGATGTTCTAGACGAGATGGGAAAGTTCAAGGTAACAAAATCATATAAAATGAATAATTTAATATTTGAAAAGAGAATATATTTGGTTTCGTGTCCTTTTCACTATCTTAAATTCCAAATTGAAACAACTTTATCATCATGAGTGGAATTTCAAATGAACAATGTAGATATTCAGAAAAAGGAAAAAAAATTTGCTAATAAATTTGAAAATAAATTTTGTTATATGATATGATTATTATTCAAAAGCAAACTTAATCTGCTTTGCAGGAATTAACAAAAGACACATCTATAGATTTGATGCGGATAAATTCAAAGTCCGGATTATCATTAACTGGTCAAAGATATAATGATGGCAATCTTTTCCGTCACAGAAAACAAACATTTGATAATCGGCCAACTTGCTACAGTAAGCTTTTTTACAAATAATTGCAAAAAATATGTGGTTAGAATTAAAAGCTAATTGTCTAGAACGGTGAAATTTGGAACAATCATAATTAGCTCCAATATTGTCATCAGCATCAAGATCATAGATTTTTTTTTTTTTTTACAATCTTAGCAAGATGACGAAAGAAGCGATCAGGCTGGTTATCCATAGTATTTCTAAAGCTTTTTGAAACCTTATTTCATTCGAATCACATAATATAAAAAAACGATACTTGCAGAATGTGAAAGTATGACAAGATGTCCACTGGGTCCACCAGGTCCTCCAGGATATGATGGTGAAGATGGAGGTTGATTTCATTCTTGCTAACCAGGATTTTATAATTTATGTATTTTTTATTAATTAGATTGAAATTGATTTTGCAGTGGATGGTATACCTGGAATTCCCGGAATGGATGGATTTCCTGGAATTCTAAAGAATTATCAGAATGGAGGATGCATCAAATGTCCACGTGGTCCGCCAGGTATGGCAGGTCCTATAGGAGCACCCGGTGAGCCGGGACCAAAAGGACCAGATGGAGTAAGCGGAGAGTGGACAGGTGTTGGAGCGAAAGGTCCGCCAGGTCCTCCCGGTGATCCTGGAATACCAGGTTTGTTTTCTCATTGAGCATGGGAATATTTTATGAAATTGAGCGGTCCCTGTTCAACATCTTGTATTTTTTAAAACTTTTTCGTAATTTTTAACTTCACAATTGATAACATTTTTTTCAGGGCCAATGGGTCCACCAGGTGAGCAAGGCGAAAATGGGCTACCAGGAGTACAAGCGATAATTGGAAGGCCGGGTCTACCTGGGCCAATTGGTCCACCGGGACTGATCGGACCTCCTGGTGAACCAGGAATAACAGCGAATGGTGAATTAGGGCCGGTTGGTTTGCCAGGTCCTGAAGGATTACCAGGCCTTGCTGGACCAATAGGTGTCGATGGTGAGGTAAAAACGAACTATATTCATATTATGTGTTATATGATATAAAAATAATTATACCAAATTCTCACTTCATATTACCATTATTTTCCAGATCGGAATGCCCGGAATCCCTGGAGCCAATGGTATATATTGTCCATGTCCACCACGAAACTTGTTCAGCATAATGAAAATCAAGGAGAATCCACCAGAAACAACCGCACATGACGTGTATTATTGAATACTTGATCTATAACAAACCTCTGTCTCTACTTTTAAGCCTCACGTGCCTTAATTGTTGTTCACTTCATCCATGATATACAAATGAAATGCGCAGTTGTCTTGACTACCCATCCCCTTGTTCCGTCGCAATCAATGAATTGTCTCTTTTCTCTTCTGTTGATAATTATTTTCCATTCTCTATTCTAATTCTTTTTCAATTTTTTACGAAATATAAATTATGTTCTATTATTTCACGATGACATACTTTAACTTCTTCATGATTATTTTTGAAGAATATTCCGTGATTATCCGAAGTCAGTGGATCATAACATTACTCGTTATATATGATCGAACGACTGCTCAAACATGCTTCAATTTAATAAAGGTCGTCTCCAAAATTAACTTTTTTAAAATTTGTTTTTCACATTAAAATACATTATGCTTAATTGTTGATTTTCCTGAATTCAACATAGAATTTCCGAATAACAAACAAACTAAAGCCAATCGTTTTGCTGATTTATGTTTAATTCAGTTCTTTTCAAAAGGCCCTTGTTCTAATAATAATAATAGTCAGTGGAAAATCAATATCAGACTTGAATACAAAACGATAAGTATTACAGACCTGCTATTAAAAACGAATAAACATACTAACATTATGGCATATAAGGTCAGCGCTCATTGATATTCTTCGAAACTTGAATTTGTGCAATTAACAGGAATTGATTAACTAACAATTAAGTGTGGAAAAATCGATCATGCTTAATGTCTCACTTATTATTCTAAAGGTTACTCGCTTTAAAATTTTAAGTTTTCCTACCTAAACCAAATTTTTCGAATTATTTTGATTGCGAAATTCTTTTCTTTTTAAATTAATTTAACAACATTTAGTTCAATTAATTTAACTAAGACAACATTAAATTAAATGACTACAATTAAATGAATTAGTCGGCAAGAATATTCACTAAAATGATTATGTTCATACTAATAGAATTCAAACAGTCTTATCACAGTTATCAAATGATCATAAACTATATCCACCACATAAATGCACATACATATAAATATTTCCTCAATATATTACCATAGAAACGTGTTCGATAGAGAGGTGTGATGGAGTAAGCTAAGGAATGAAATTATTTGACAGTAGGATACGTTGCCTAGTAGCACAGGTACTTTTCTTTGGTCACTTCCATTAATTTCTGGAATTTTATCAGTGGAACTTATATTACAATCAGAAATTATCTCGCCTCTTCCTCCCACCTTTTTTCTTCTACCTTCTACTTCTCATCCTATTTCATACTACATTGTTGTATTTTTACTACCACTTATCGCCAAACATTTTTGCTGATGTCAATATATCTTCACTGTAAAGTTTGTAATCATATCATATCAGTTTCAAATGACTTGATTAATTATTGGCTAAATAAAGAAAGCATAAGACAATATTGTATGGCTAAACTATAATTATTGGTTTTACTGATACCTTATTTTCACTTGCTAAAGTTTCTCTCTCTTTATGATATGTTACAAATTTACATTATCATCTAATTTGATGAATGTAAGACGATATTGTATGGTTAAATTATAATTTGCTACAGATCAGACATTACGAAGAAATTTTAATACTCTTTTGTATTTTATGACTCAAACTGAAATTATTTCTAAAAATTATGATTTTATTAAAAGGTTTTTATGTATATCTTGGGAGCAAACTGGACTAATTTTTTAATTAATCTTCTAATCTACGCCAGAGAATTCCAATTTTTTATATTTCAAACGCTAACCAGAAAAATTCTCGAGTGATTTTTTCAATTTATTCTTACCGCAACGATATTTTCTTATTTCATTTTGCATAATAGTAATTGTCATTTCATACTTATAAGGTAACAAATAAGCAATCACTAATCACTGAAAAAATGCTGTTACTCAAACTTGCAGTTGGCTTGCAGTTGCAGATTAAAAAATCGAAACATGCTTTATACTAAAACCTAAACGATTTTGGCAATTTATACTGTTAGATTCTACTTCATCGGTAAAATATCATTCAAAATTGTCAAAAGCAAAGATCGTAAATGAATACTTTTCCCAAATATTTTCTTGTTGAGATCAAGAAAGAAATTATAAATTGTGATTGCTATTTTGAATTAAAATGTAATCTTTGATCCACAATGAATGAAGCCTAATAAGACTTTTGTATTTACTTACAGAAATGTCTAAGATGTATACGGACAGAACAAAAGAATTATTCGCTGATTTAATTGAACGTCCACCTCTTACCGACCAATTGTTACAACGACCGCCATTTCGTTTCTTACACGATATCGTTAAATTCACAATTCAAAACACAGGATTTTTAATGGTTTCTTTTGGAAAATAATTTTTTGAATTGGTATTTTATCATATTAGATTAAGTTACTTTCTCGTATCATTGCGAAGGAATCATAATGGTTAGAATGTCTGAATGTTTAACTGTAACAGAGGTATCGAATACCGTTTAACCGGACTAACTTGGTTTGAGGCTGAGCCATTTTCTATATTCATATTTAATGTGCTTTTAGTATAAGTAAAGTTTTATTATATTGAATCCAACAGAATAGTCAAAATCATCAAAAAATGAGAAGTATAAGTCACTCAACATTAGCACCCAACAGCCGATAGTTCAATTAAAACGAATCAAAAGGTGGATAACAGAATAGTTCGAGGCTCACTTTTGACGCCCAGTTATATTCATTCACTTTGTTTAACTTTAGTCATCCGGGAAAATTTAAACATTTGTTCCAAAGTTATTCTGATGCCAGTAATATGATCTAATGCTTTTTAGATATCAATTCCGTTATTCCTAATAGCGTGGAAGAGTCAAATTATGAAATCATATTGTGTATGCACACATTTAAATTTAATACTAAGGCATAAAAGGAGTTTGTAGTTATTAAAAACAATTTGAATTTCTTCAACTGCTATAAAACTCAATTAATGAATATCTAATTAACTTTTGAACATCCAATTAATTGTGTTTTTTATACAGGAAAAATTTACAAATGAGGAAATGGATGCATCAAATATAACGGATAAAACGACAAAAGCTAATTTTTTGAAGACATTGATTAAAGCACTGAACGATGATGGATCGTTGAAAGATGTCAAAGCTGCCAAAATAATAGCGGGCAAGGAACCCGAAATGACGAATTTGGTATATACAGTGATTTCAATTGTTCGTAAGGTGATAATTGACAACTGACAACGTAATCAGTCGGTTAGTGAGCTAAAGAGGATTGTCAGGTTTCATCCGGTATATAGTTGTATGTAAGTTCTGGTGATTAACCGGCCGGTAATATAATCCATAAAACAAAAAAAAAACAAGGGATTCATTTCTTCAGAAAGCTTTAGTCCCGCTGTCTTCTCAGTTTGGAATTTTACGAAATCGTAAAAGAAACATTTGAAATGTTTTAGATGCTACAAAAGTTAGCAATTGATGCAGCAGCATTTCGTGATTCGAAGTTAAAGGGTATTACAAATGAAGAAAGACAAAAGAAAGAGAAAAAAGCGCATAAAAAGGAATGCAACGATAATGGATTGGAAAGAAAAAATAATGATAATAAAAGCAGGAAGGTTCTAGATAATTCTTTGCTAGTTTAATACTAACTATATTTAATTTGGGATTTATTTAATTAAAATTTCAAATATAACACTCTTCGAAATATTGTGACATCATTCGTAAATGTGAACAGATGTAGAAATAGGATTATTACAGCTAAATTTGGAGAGAAAAAAGAAATTTTTAGGTTGAAAAGGAGAGACGACATTCAAGTAGAAGTAAAGAAAAGAGGAAGAAAGAAATTGAAAGCAAACCGAAGATAATTAAACAAACGATTGACAATAATGAACGAAGAGATTCGATTGATGAACGACATTTCGACGATATTGTACAAGAAACATCGGCAATGAAGATGGAGCAAGTGGTTCACACTGATCAGGATCCATCGAGTTTGAAATTCATAATTTCGATTACTTTATTTTTAATACTTTTCTTTCTCGTAATTTACCAGTCCCTCAAATGAACCCAACAAGACCAGATGATAGGTGTCGTTCAGGTGGTTCGAATCACTAGCTATTATGAAATGAATACATGTCTGTCTTATATCGATCTCTTTCCAAGTTCCATATCTCTGTGTTCCCCTTATCCGGTCATCCATACATTCGAGTATTCTTACCACGATGAAATCGGATTTCATGAAATTTATCATCACTTCTTCAAAACTCTCTTATAGGAGCTAGATCATATATCCATCTTAATCTGATCATAATAAGGTATTTTTAGTTATTACGAAGACAGAAGACGGCGACATTGCTGATAATATAACCAATGAAATTGCACAACCTTTGATATCACCACCATTGAAGGAACAGCTACGGTTTAACACGATCTTTTTAATTTCTTTTAATTATAATTTGAAAATATAAAAATTTTCGAAAAATTCTGAATCCCATGTCCAAGGCACATAAAAACTTGCTCCCAGACTGTCAACATCGTCAGGACGGCCACGTACTTCAGCCAGTAGATTGGGCACTGCTGCAGCTCGACCAGCGCCTCCGAAGATCAAAAAGAAACGAGTGGAAGAAATTGAACGAAAACCAGAAGTTGTAAGTTCTTCTGCAAATGAAATAAAACTCGCAATTATCCAATTTCTTTTTCAATAATAATAACAATTGAATCTTGCATGAACCAATTACTTCTTTGATCTTTCAGAATATAAAAACAAGTGGAGTAATTATTGGTGAACGAGAAGAAATTGATGAGCAATTTATTGTAGAAATTGAGCCATCATATTGTCAAACTGATCAAACTAATGCTGATGAGGTACCTTACTTCAGAAACTATAAAATGATCCGTATAAAAATTGATTCCATTGAAGTGAATTTAAACGAAAAAAATCATTGACATTTGTTGATATTGATACAATTGCATGCTAAATATTATCATTAATATATCGTTTTAAAGAAATCTTTAATGCTAAGAATCAAGCCATCTTATTTAATCGAATCACAAATTATGCTATCAATACTTTCCATCCAATCTTGCAATACTCACTCACATAATGGGGTGAATGTCGAAATTTATGGCAATTAGTTCTACTTTATCTTGATTTAAACAAAATTAACGTTACCTTTAATACAAGCATTATTTGCGAAAACGATTATTTCTAAACTTTTTAAAGTACACAACCAATTTCAGTTAATTAGCGAAGAGCATGGTGGTCTAGTACGAAAAATTCTTGAGACCAAAAAAGAATTAGAAGATAAAATAACCAAAGAAGCTTATAATGCGACCATTAGTGTATTTGACGAAAACGATCAAGCAAGGTCACAGCAAGAGGTATCATATTTCGCTTCATTAATTTCACCTTCCTTCCTTCCTTCCTTTCTGATCACTTTGTCAAGTTCTCTCACCTCTTGGAAGTCAGCTTTATCCTAATGAAAAAGTTATCATACAACTCCTTTAGTTGCTGAATTCATTATCAATGATATACTTATTTTGACTAAAGTTAACGTATTTTAATTTCATAATTGCACTGTTTATCATTAACTTGGTTTAATTGAGGAATTAAAAAATTTAACTGGTAGCAATTCAAAATTAATCTTATTTTTTCGAAAAATTTTATTTTGCTTTTCAACTTATTTCTTTTCAGTTAGCTAATTTACAAAAGACTATGCAACAGATAACACAAACAACACATCTACTTGCGCGTTTTCTTGACAATACACAGGTTATCGTTATTTGTTTTATAAATAAATGATACTAACGAAGAGTTATTACAAGGGATAAATAATGATTACTGTTAAGATAATACTCAGCTTGGCATCTTCTTGACAAATTGAATTCAAAACAAATGATATCAGATAATACCACACTTTTAAGAAGAAATGATTACAACTGAATGATAGCAAAATATATCAGTATTTCCGTTGTGTTATATGCATTCCGTTTGCATCCTGCCCTGCTTGCTTTATGCTACTTTATAGGAAGATGCTGAGAATATGTTTAAAGAAATGGAAGAATGGCGTTTAGAAAGTACAAAAAATATACACGAATTGCGAGAACGAAAAGCGAATGCGGAAGAATCATCGGAAAAATTGTTGCTAAGGTTGAATCAATTGGATGAACAGATCAAAGAAGTGAAAAACGCCATTATTCAAACTAAAGCTAAAGTGATAGCAAATGAAGAAAAAATTCGAATTTTAGTTAATAATATTTGATTTTTCAATAAATTTCGTAACACATTCTAATTATCTAACATTCACCTCTTTCATAAGCCAATTTTTTTGGCTTTCATAGGCTTCCCATAAAATCAATTAAATTGAACGAACAAATGAATTGATTCATTCATAAACAGAATAAACATTTTGGAACAAAATTCTTCATACGTTAATTTGGATGGATGATATTTGTAAACAACGACAATATACGAATAGGATGGAAAAAAAAACATTCAAAAGGATAAAATCTTTTGAGGGAAAGATGATTGGAAGCTGTACTACTTTTATCTTGTCAATTCTTAGGATAGCAAAATGTAATTCATCGCAAAGATACTTCATCAACAAAGGCTTATCAGTCATCTGTCCAACCACGACATTTAACAATGGACCAAATCTTTACTTTCTCAAGACAGACCTATTGTCGCAACATACGCAACATACTGTTCATACTGAACAAGCTAATGTTCTTGCATTTCTGTATCAAATAAAAAAATTTCAATTTCACTAAATTTGAAGAGACTTGTTGTTGTCGACTGCAGATTGTCTCATTTCACGGAATTCTGTGGAAAGAAAAAATAAATTCAGTACAATTACTATCAGTTCTGTTCCGACTGCCTTACTGCTACGATACGAAGGCGTTTATCGGAAGCACATCACTTTCAAGTCATTGTAAAATTTGTCCGCAAAATTTCAAAATTCCTTTCAAATATTATTTGAAGTACTAATGTCACTGTCTGATATACAATAGCATTGACGTTATTTTTGCCAGCAAATGTGACGAGTGTGTCCAAAAGCCTGGAAATTAGATTTCACTACTTTTCATATCTAATTTGTCGGATTTTTTTTTTTGAATTCCACGTTTAAATGAATTAAACAATCTACAGCCATATTTGAAACTTCAAGTTTTAAAAATTAAAACCAATAATATTCCTTTCGGAATAGGAAGCAAAAGGAAAGAAGTTGAAGTTGCATAATGCAGATGGGTCACCTGTTGCTCTGCTATCTTTTGATCATTCTTAGTCTTATCGTGCACACATTGATATACTTTTGCATTCAAGCAGTCAACTTTGGACTAATACATGAAACTCTGTACATGATACATTATTAGGGTAAGCTGGAATAACGTAGACTTAAGAAAGTTCAAAAAAAAAAATTGCGTTAGGCTTAGATTGGTTGAGACTTAGAATGCTTCCGTAATTAAATATATCAGCATATTGTTAAATAACAATATACTGATATATAAAATATCCGCTCTTTATCTCTAATTAAATTGTGTGAAATTAAACATTAAAAATACTTCTAAAATCTTTAATTAAGAATTGTAGAAGCTCCCAAATATTGTGCATTTGAATTTGTCACTTCTGTGATATCGTGAATGTCTTTAAAATAACTGACTGTTTCAGGCACCAAATAATAACTAAGGATGAAGACATCAGCAGAATCCCCGGTTTTGTTCAGATAATGATAACTGCAATCTTCTTTTGTTTTCCGATAGGATTGCAATATCACTACCGGTAAGTCCAATTTCGAACTGTTTTTGAACCTTTTTTGGTTTTTGAAAATATTCAGTGTCTGGACGAATGGTCATCTACCCAGTACGCCCGCCGGCGGACTGTAGCACTGCAAACAGATCACAAAGCCTTACCTATCTGCTCCATCGTGCTTTTACAGACTCTCTTCTCACGTTCTTAAAAAAGCACGGATCTGAGCGGGTAGATTGGGAGAAGTTTCGGATAATCAAATTTATCGACATATATCTTGTACCAAATTAAGTTACAATATAGATTATTACATCAGAAACTGTGCTTCTAGATCCTTAAAGTCTAATCTTTAATCTCTTTCAACAATCAATTTGGTGGTATAAATATATCTTATAAAAGGGGTTTTTTTTTTTTCGCAATATTTTTACTCGAGAAATTTTTGGAGTACTTACTTATTTCTGCATCTTTCAATTTTTGGTTTTACCCAAAGTACAAAAGTATTGAGTAATTTTGTTCTTCATGGACCTGATAAAACGCAAAATGTTTGAGATGAAACAAATGATGTCATCTCGATGCTTAGATTTACTTCAATTTTTTGATGTTTATTTGATCGCTGGCAGTGATAGAGCTTGGCTGAAAGCCTATGAAGGACAGATAACTTATGTATAAGCAAATAATTAAATAAGCAAAGTGTACAAGTGAAAATGTACGCAGTATCCCACTACTAGTAGTCACACCCATTCTGCGCTTCATTGTGGTGCTGAACGTGCAAAACACTCAATAAAAAGACCAGGAAATGTGCAAAAATGCGCAAAAATATGAAGACTTTAGGAATCCGCAAAAATTATATCTTACAAATTTACATATTGATTTTTCCGTTTATGGAAATTTTTGTTCCACCAGAAGTTCATTTATAAAACAGTGCGGTCGTTGTAAACGCATGAACGCAGGTCATTCTTGTTTTATTTCGCGTGCGTTTCCGGTACCATGTGCTAAGGAGGTTTTTTCAGCTTTTCGTTCTTTTATTACTTTAACTTTTTTCCCTTATTTTTGGTAATTAAACGAGTAGATGTGGGCAGAAAAATATATTGAGCGAATGTGTAAATAGCTGAAATTGTTTCGGAGAAAAAAGTGATTTGAAATGAATTAATAAATTGAACAGAACTATTCGTATCGAAAAAATTTGAACAAATCTTCAGATCATGATCCGAGGGAGAGGTCGGGAGGTCATGAGATTCAGATGCATCTATAATTCCTTCTTTTTTTTTTCTATGCCATTTGATTTCTTTCTAAGCTATTTGATTGTTGTCTACGAAGTTGATTCGTCTTGCTCCACTAAGACGAGACATGTCAATCATAGGGTTTTCGTATTGCGATGATATTTTGCTCGCGCCTGAAGTATGAAAATAATGTGGTGGTCTGTTGTATCGAATCATGATTTCATACCATGATTGGATACAACCACTGATACTGTATCATAATTGTCATAGTTGTTAACATTGTTTACTTCAGTTCAGCATCTCTTCGAGAAATAAAGGCGGATCCAAAATGCATTGGTACGATAGAATATATGACGCATGCAAGCATTCCAATGGGTATTCCGCACCTGAAGCATTCTATGGGCCCGGAAAGAATATAGCGAGTGGATGTGAACTTCAACATAAAACGTTTTCATACGTGTAAGTTGTCATCAAATGATGTTTTATGTAAGACCGGGGAGAGGAGGGAGGAGGTGAGGTCTTATATAAAACATGACGCAAAAGTCTTCCAATCTTGTTTCCAAGTTTATACCTTATGCAGTGTATCAGACGTCCGCTGAAAGACGTCATAAAGTTCGATACATCGTGATGAATCGTAATCTAACGAAAGATCTTCACAGTTATTGTCAAACACGTAACAGGTAGACTATATAAAAATATTTACGCTTGTAGGACGCAAATTTGCATGTAAAATGCATGAGCATGATAATAGGAATTGTTTTAGATATAAACAGCAAGAAGGGATGCAAACTACAAAAAAATAAACGAATAAACCAAATCAAAAGATCTACAAATCCTACCTTTTCCCTATACCGCCAATTTTTCTTTTTTTTCTCTCTCCTTCTGTTTTCTGCACAACTTTTTTTTTTTCAATATCTCTATATACAAAGTTAGATTGTTTGGCATTCAACGTTCAGAAAAGTTACTTATCAGAAAAATTCTCCAGAAACCGTAAGAGAAATAAGTCCTGTCAATTGTTCAGGAAAAAATTTTTCGGAAACTTTAATAGAATTCACATTTATCTTTTTTATGTCCAAAAATTCTAAAACAACTTATCGTGTTTTGCAAGTAGTAAGAGTAGCAGGACGAGAACACAGTTGAATCTAAGATTTAAGCAAGCTACTGCTATTGATTGAACAGTTATGAGCACCTGATACCTGGTAACTCCATTGCGCCATAACCAGAGGATCGGCATCTACGGTTTGATGTTTCATAAAAACTACATAAATCACCAACACTATAAAAGTTTCGTCTTTACCACAGTGTTTTGGTAATTTAAGTTTCCACTTAATGACGATTACTTCTTGCAAATATTAACTTCAATGCATGAAAGATATGAGAAGACGAACAACCACAAAGTGTTAATGTCACTAATTTTTTTAATGCATGTTTAATTTTTATACCATATGTTTATTGTATATATTCATACATCTTTTTGCAAACATGAAATTGCTTCCTTTCAGACTCAACTGGAAATTCTATAACTTCAACATAGATAAGTTTATTTTAATTTAAACATAAAATACGTGTGAAGTTTAATTGAGAAGCAATAAACATTTCAGCGATCATCGTTCAGGGAGAGCAGTTCGATTGTATGGTATTGTAGACCGATATTCTCCTGGTGCAGACGCTGATTTTCTTATAAGTCAAATTGTTAACGATTTACTGCCTTTCGATCGTACAACCGACCACGTATTAAACAACGATCCCAGCGACCGACAAGTATCTCAATACTGTCTTTTCCGTACTTGGCTATTTTTACTATTTAATCTAAATTTGGAATACAACACGTGCATATAATGGTCATCGTTCATGTCGTCAGTAATTTGTTAATATCAACAGTCCTGATTGTCATTTGATAAAGGATTGTACAGACTAAAGTACTTAGATTGAAGATATGTTATAGCATCTGTCTTACACAGTGCTAGGAGATTTTTTTGTGCATTGCACTTACATTGGCAGGTATGACACCTGGCAAAGGAATCGGAACTTGACATAAGTGAGAATAGTAAAAGTGAAATTCATGTAATTGCAAAAGCGAGCAGTATACTCATTTTAAGACCACAATCAGTTAACAAAGAACTGATCTGAAATGGTTAAAAGTGGCAGCATGGCTGAAGGACTCATTATGAAGTTATAGAAAAGTTGAGATTGTAGGAAAAATTCGAATTTTATCTATTTATATGTATTTTAGATATACTGCCTGTTGGATGAAGTATTACGCAAGGTTTATAAAGTTGATTTGAACAGTAGCAATGCAAGCACACGCTCATATCTTGGAAGCGAGTCACGTGGGTCACCTGGGTCTTCCGGAAGCAGGCATGAGAATAATGGCACTCTACAGATCAATAATTTATCAAATGGAAATTTTGTAAAGCCAAATAATCCAATAAATCTACCAAACTCATCGCCACTGAATCAGCCAATTAGTGAGGCGGTAGCACAAAAGTTGTCTGTGATGGAGTTCCTTAATTTTTACAAGGATATCATTGAACGAGTAGATGAGGCGGCGAATGCAGACGAGAGGAAATACATGGATTCGGTTGCAATAAATCAAGCTAATCTGATGGCTCCTCCATTTAATCCTTATAACGGATACATGCCACCACCACCGCCACCACCACCACCGCCACCACCACCACCACCACTACCACTA